GCTAATCAGTGTTGAGGCGAAAAATGGAATTTCTGTTGCAGAGAGATATTTTTGCCAATAGAGCGTCTATCATGGGGATGGGATCCTGGGGTACTGAGATGGCTGGAGGTAGGGACTGGCTCGGGTAGATAGCTACACCACCGGCGCGGCCTCGTTTTGAGTAGCTCCTCAAAAATGTATAACCATCTATTTTAACTTCCCCATCTAAGATGTCTGGAGTTAGCCATGTCTCCGTTAGATTTGGAATATGTGGCTGAAGATGTTTAATCTTTCGTCTGAGTTCAAGTACCTTGTTACCAAGGCTTAAACAGTTGGTGTACATGCATTTTAGCACTTGTTCACCAAACATTTCAAGAGACTTAGGATAAGAGGGGCGTCCTGATCCTGGGTTACCACTGGAGTTACGTTCTGAAGCTGCTTTTTCCCCTTGATCACCATTTGGGGTTTTGGCTCGTGCGCACGTTTCGGCTTCCTGCGGTCCGAAAACGGGGGAGTTCCTGGGGGTTTTGCCTGCATTATCTGCTTTACGCGAGGAGGATGAGGCGCTAACTGTTCTGTGTGGCGGGACACTTTGCCTGTTTCGGGAAAAGGGGACGCAGTGGCTTTTCGGTGATTTGTGAGTTTTAGGGACATTAGTGGGGTGATTGTTGAGGCCAGTGGCTTGGGCTTTTGTAGAGAGATGACAGGTCCTATAGGAAGAGTGGGGAATTGGGGTCGTTGTTTAGGGGGATTTGTCCGTAGACAAAGAACAGCTTGATGGATGGGAAGCGGTGGTGTACTCCTTAGGATTCCCGTTTTCGCAGGTTGAAACTTCGATTGTTTAGTGCATCTTCTGCTTACAAACGTTTGGTGAGTTTGTTTGCTGTTTACGCAAACGGGTTTTGTTTGCTTATTATTCAACCTAGAAGACGGTTTGAGGAAACTCCGGTCGGCAGTGAGAGTAGGCTCATCGTCCTTCCCACTACAGAAGCTTGTATTCGGGGAGCTGCAGGCTAGAGGGACAGAGGATATTTCGAAGATGGGTCTGTGGGAGGTCAGCTGGTCAGCGGGGATAGGAATGTGCGTGCGATTGACAACAGCCTTCTTTAAAAGTTTACTGTCTCTTTGCCATCCCTTAGGGGAAGATGGTGGCAGCCTTGTGTGGATGGGCTTGTCTGGTACCACTTCCCTCACCAGTTTGTTATTGGACTGGATTTTCTGTATTTGTGCAATACAGTCCGTAACCACTGATGAGTGGCTAAATCCCACAACTAGTCCCAGCACCCGTTTCTTATATTTTGGGACTAGCCATGTGGAGCTGCAGGGGTTGGGTATTTTCGGGAGGTGAGGTTTCCAAGGAGGGATTTTGCCTTCTGGGCAGGGGTGTGGTCCTTAGAAAAATGGCCCGATAATACCACCCTCCTTGCGCAAGCTTCTTCGATAGTCAGCCTCTTGGCTGTTTCTAAGATATCTTGTTTGAATATCCTAATGAAGCAAGGGTAGCACAATCGTACCCCTTCAGAAGAGGGCTTATTACCCTTGCGAAGTCAGCGTAGTCGACGAGTCAAACCAAAGCAAGATTACAGTCCCATGCCACATGAAAACGAGGGTTCACCAAATTACGCTGTAGAACAGGCTTCTCCCCGACGTTCAACAAAGAAACGACGAGGGAAGCAAGGTCGTAGACAGCAAGCTGTACCAGAACTGGAGGTTCACCAGAGGCGATCTACCTGGGAGTTGCCGGATTTGTTTAATGCGGATGATAACGATCAAATGGACGAACTCTCACAGGCAGAGTCTAGCCTTTCAGAAACAAGCAGAACGAACCTTTGACGAGCAGTGTTGGAAGCCAAGGAGACTAGCTGACAACACAACTATCTGGACGCACGATTGGTCTCGGCCATTACTGTCCTGTGCAAACTGAACTGAACTGAACTAAATGATGCACACAAACAAAGGTTCTCCGATACAACAGATTTACCAAATTATTCTGATGTACTGCTTGATAACATTCCTAGTCGGACAACTATTCTCGGTGGAACTTTTGACGACCACGATCGCCGGAAACGTGCTCTGCGCGAACACTTGCGTCGGTGTGATCAAAGGAAGATTCGGCACCAGCACCCTGCTAGTCCCAGCCTTGTTCAAAAAGGATCAAATGCTTTCCATCACGGATCGCTGCTTTCTCCTGGTCACTCCTCAGACGCCGAACCACACCCTCAGGAAGTAATGGATTTTTGTACCGAAACGACTGCGACTGATCAATTCAGGCGAAGACAAGAGTTCGATGTGTTTGAGCACACGGAGG